GCTCATATTTAGACTTGGGTGGAAAAGAAAGCTCTACCATCTGTGAGTGAGCTCTACCATTCTTAAAGGTCATGGGAAGCACAGAGGTACTCCAGCTTTACATTTTGTTGAGGAAAAAGCACCCAAGTGTGACACGTGTGTCCAAAATGACACGTATGATGAAAATGACACGTGTCCAAAACAACACGTGTGTCGGAAATGACACACATGACAAAAATGACACGTGTGTCAAAATGACACGTGTGATGGAAATGACACATGTGTCCCAAATGACACGTATGACCAAAATGACATGTGTGTCCAAAATGACACGTGTGTTGAAAATGACATGTATGATGAAAATGCCACATGTGTTGAAAATGGCATGTATGATGAAATGACACGTGTGTCAAAAATATCACGTATGACGAAAATGACACTTATATCCAAAATGACACGTATGACGAGTATTGCCTGCCTTGTTTACTTTCCTTATTATCACAGTGTGAAAATGATGGGGCACTTTTTTTTCCAAATAAATGTAGTTGGCTCTTATAGCTACATTTTTGAAGGTGTTTCTCTTTACATATATATCATGTAAATATATATTTTTTATCATATAGCAAATTCAGCAAAGCAGAAAAAAATAATCATTGGTTTTGGATGTTCACAGCTTGAACTCAACAACAGTTGTGAAGGGAAATTAGACAGCCTCTTTTGAGCACCAAGGGTTCTTGCTCAATTAAAAGCCATTTTTGAGTATATATTTTGTGTAAGACAAGAAGTATTACTTTGCCAGTACAAGAACAGGCATTTTGAAACTAACGATGAAATGGGTCATTTTCTAACGAGGGTACAGAACATCTAATAGAGGTCAGTTTAGCCTGTGTTTTGGTGAAGAAAAGGAAGGGAAAAGGTGAAAGAGAGTCTTTGTACAGGGAACCACTGGGGAAAGTTATGGAGGGGAAACATTTATGGTCAATAACCATGAGGTTTGTGCCAGGAGAGAAAATTGAAGAATTCTTCCGCAAAAGACTGGGAAGTGAGGAGGTTGCCCGTGGCAGTCCTGGGTTATAGGTTCCTGAATGGCTGCTCACAAGAAGGTTAGGTCTTTGTGGAAAGACTTCCTGGATGTTCGTTCTAAGCTGTTGCTAGACTATGGCCAAGACCAATGTCTCCAAGACCTGCCGATATGTTTCTCTTTCTAGGTGCATTTGTTTGGGCACTCACTTTTGGAAACACAATGCTCCCATTGGTGGAAGTGGCTAGGCACACTGCGACCTATATCTTACCCCTTCCATGTAAGACAAGAAGTATTACTTTGCCAGTACAAGAACAGGCATTTTGAAACTAACGATGAAATGGGTCATTTTCTAACGAGGGTACAGAACATCTAATAGAGGTCAGTTTAGCCTGTGTTTTGGTGAAGAAAAGGAAGGGGAAAAGGTGAAAGAGAGTCTTTGTACAGGGAACCACTGGGGAAAGTTATGGAGGGGAAACATTTATGGTCAATAACCATGAGATTTGTGCCAGGAGAGAAAATTGAAGAATTCTTCCGCAAAAGACTGCTGGAAAGTGAGGAGGTTGCCCATGGCAGTCCTGGGTTATAGCTTCCTGAAATGGCTGCTCACAAGATGTTCAGGTCTTTGTGGAAAGACTTCCTGGATGTTCGTTCTAAGCTGTTGCTAGACTATGGCCAAGACCAATGTCTCCAAGACCTGCCGATATGTTTCTCTTTCTAGGTGCATTTGTTTGGGCACTCACTTTTGGAAACACAATGCTCCCATTGGTGGAAGTGGCTAGGCACACTGCGACCTATATCTTACCCCTTCCAACTCAGTGCCCTGAAACCAGGCTTAGAGCCCTCTGTGGTCTGTGAGTTATCCAAGTCCTTCCCCCACCATGGGGCCACTTCAGTCTCCTGTGTTAATTTGCTTTGGCTTCATCTTCTTCAGGCAAAATTATCTGAATACCTAACTCTTCTTTACCACTTTGAGTAGGTCCGCATTCTGTTGTTTAGAAATTATCTCAGAAGCTCCCATTCCCTAAAAGAGTGTCTCATCTGTGCCAAACTTTTACTTACTCCATTTCCATTATTGTCCATTAAAATCTTACTTGTTGAGCCAGGCTGTGGTGGAGTGGTGAAGGCAGTGGGACCCCACGTGGCCAACTGCATGGCTCTAGTCCTGGACCTGGAATCTTGAGAAACATGCCAGGTGTGTGTGTTTATGTACCTAAAATCCAGAGAGGAGTGAGAAATGGAGGAGAAGGCATTGCATAGTGAGGTGGTGCTTACTTACTTTCTTCCTTTTCTTTCTTTTGAGAGGTTTTTTTCTATAGAGCGCTTGCTCTCGCCAGAAAGACAGAAAGAGACAGAGAGACCGAAAGTGAGAAATCAGCCCCCAGGGGGGCTGGCTACACCACAATCCTTTTCTCCTCCATTCTCCTCTCGGGATCTTGGACACATGCACTGACGTGCGTTTAAGCTACCGGGTCTGGGACTCAAATCGCGGTTGACTACATGGGAGTCCAGTGACATAGCCGTTATACCAACTGCTGGTCCTGAGGGGGGTACTTTCTTACATTTCCTCTCTTTCTCTCTGACAAGTGTACGGGCTCTCTGATAAAATTTAAAAACAGAGGCCACAGGTGGCATAGTGGTTAAGAAGCTGGCTGACTGAGGTTCAAGTCCCAGGCCTAGAGGCTTGAAAATTCTGCCAGGAGCATGTACATGCATGCCCAAAATCCTGAAAGGAGAATGGAGGAGAAGGGGTTGCAGTGGGTCCAACCCCAGTGGGGAGTAATTTCCCAATTTTCCTCTCTCTTATCTCTAGCCAGCAAGCACACACATACCATTACACAAAAACGTAAATAAACAAACAAAACAAAAAACCTGAAAATAAATCTTATTCATTCTTCAAGAAACTGATCAGATGCTGATTCTCCACAAATCCTTCCTAATCACTCCAGCTTCAAGGGATTTCTCCTCCCTTCACAAGTTTTTGTTGCATACTCTTCCTAATGGTGGATCCAAAGTTTGGTTATTTGTTAGTGTTATTCACTTTGAGGGAGCTTATTTTCTAATAACCTTATTATTATTTTTTTTTCAGAGAGAGATTTTTTCTATAGGGCATATGTGCTTGCCAGAGAGACAGAGACAGAAAGTGAGAAATCCCCTCCAGGGGCAATGGCCATGCCACAATCCCTTCTCCTCCATTCTCCCCGCAGAATCTTGGGCACGCACACACAAGCACCCAGCATGAGTTTTAAGTCACTGGGTCTGGGACTCAAACCATGGTTGACTACATGGGTGTCCAGCAACATAACCATTATGCCATCTGGGGGGTCCCTCTAGTAAAACTCTATTCTAGAACAGTTTAATATTTATAGAATCAGTATAAAGGCAGTAAACAGAACTCCTACATATGCCACATCCAGTTTCCCCATTATGAAATCTTACGTTAGTACACTACACTTGTTCACATGAGTATACTGATATTGACACTTTATTCTGATTTCCTCAGTCCTCCCCTAAGGTCTCCCTCCCCACCCCAGGATCCCATCCAGACTCTCACATTACGTTTAGTCATCACGTCTCCTTAGACTCCCTGAGCTGTCACAGTTTCTCAGACTTTCTTGTTTCTGATGACCTTGACAGTTTGGAGGATTACTCATCAGGAATTTTGTAGACTGTCCTTCAGTTGGGATTTGTGATGTTTCTGTCATGATGAGACTTTGGGAGGAAGGCAACATGCCACTCCCATCACATCATATAGAGGGCACATATCATTGATATGCGTTGTCAGTATAGATGTTGGCTTGATCACTTGGCTCCACGTAATCTTTGTCAGATTTCTCCACTGCAAACATACTCCTTTTCTTTTTTCAACTACATACTGTCCTCTCTGAACAAAGTAACTATGTACAACTTACACCTAGGAGTTGGGGAAGGAGTTGTGTTCCACCTCCTTAAGAGCAAATGAATACATAAATTATTTAGAATTCCATTGTGTGGGAAATGTGTCTGTGTTCCCCTATTTGTTTACTCGGTTGTTTGTTTACGTCAGAATCAGCATGGTCTCATGGTATTTACTTTATTTATTCTGTTGCCCACATAGTTCTGGCTTTGGCTAATAGGAGCTCTTTCAGTTGGCTCCTGGGTCACTTTGACATGCCTCCCTCATTTGGGGTATACATTTTCTCAATTTCTGCCACTAAAAGACACTACGGTTTCATCTTGTATATTTTCTGCTCAGTCCTAGCATCAGTCTTTTCCCCTAGAATCCTGATTTGTTTTTTCTTAAATTGGAAAAAGGTATGAGAAATCATGACCTGGATACTGTCTTTGCTCACTACTGGGACTTCATTTCTTCTTGGTCCTCTTGGCTGATAGAGCAAGGAGGTCTGTGTGTATACTAGTCCATGCACGTGACTCCTCATGCACCTACCTAGAATGTTCCCATGTTGACTATCCACATCTATATTGAGTTCATACTGATATCTCCAAATAGAATCCATTATTACAAAGATTATTCTGGCAAAACTTAAAAATACAGAATCCTAGCTATCACTACAGAGCTAATGAATCATGATAAATATTAAACTTACAGATTTTAAAAGGCAAACACATTACAATTATTGAGTGTTATTCTTGGTCTAATATTGAAATAAATATCAAAATGATGAAAGTATGATTGGCATCATAAATAGAAGTTTCATGTCACCACTGTTTAATGCTGGGTAAGTGTTTATCTTAGTAGAACTTTGTTACTTGACTATAGTTATGCTACTTTTAATTCTAAGATGTACAATTTAATACAGTTCAAAATTCTTATATTAAGGATTATTGGATATATTGTTAAACTTCCAAATTTTGTGATCTGAAGTCCTAAATGTAGAAATAAACCCTGCAAGGACACAAAGTTAACTGTGAACATTGTGTTAATTCACATGGGTGGTCTTTGTCTCACTCACGTCTTCTATTTCTCTTTCTGTCTTCTCATGTTATTGGTGGGCTGCAGACTCCAGTTCCAACAGCATCTACTGAGATGATCCAGATCCCCAGAATGTCCTTGGTGCTGCTGCTGTTGCTGCCTATCTTGAGTTCTACAAAAGCTCAGGTTAATCCAGGTAACACGCCTTTATTCAATGACACACCAGAAGACCAAATGAGCCCTCAAGCCCCTCAGTGTTCACCTTGGCGAAAGCCCTGCAAATGGGGGGCTAAAAGTTGTTTTTCTTTTCTACCATGGTGAAACATGGCCAAACCAGGAACATAAACAAATATAATGTTTCTGCACATATAATATGTTGAATATTGTGAAAGGGTTTCCAATACAGAATAAGATAGCAGATGAGGCTTTTTTTGTTGTTTGTTTGTTTTGTTTTTAATGGGAGGTATAAGAAGCAATCATTTGCTTTCATCTCTTCTGGGAAAAACAGGAGACAGATTTTAGATGCCTGGGAGAACTTTTACAGGTAGGTATACCAGTTGTATACCAGTTGTTTGTGGCTGGCTGAGGCCTAGATTTGATTTCGGTCATGTTATGTTTTGGTGATCTGCTCCTGTGAAATCCCGGACATGCTATTTTTCCTAGCAGGTATGAACATGCTCAAAACGAATGTATTAGAGGAATCTTTGAAGCCAAAATTTGCTTGTGTTTTATATTACATGTATTTTTAAAACTTTACATTGAAGTATATAGCTGTATCATTTATTTATTATATAATAATTCTGCTTAGCAATATATCTTATCATTAGGTGCTTTAAAACAAGCATTTATTTTGGTATGAGCATGTAGACTGATGGTTTAGGCCAGGCTTGTTTGGACTATTCTCTGTCTGTCTCAGGTCACTTGCATATCTGGGTGTCAGCTGCTTCTTTGCTCATGTAGGATGGCCTTGGCTCTCATGGCTCGGGCTACTAGGCATTACTCTGTTTCATCTTCCAGCAGACTAGCCTGGGTCTGTTTTCATGGAAACTGAACAGGGATAAGAGCATAAGTAGAAATGCGTAAGCATTGTTTTATCTTTTTAAAAAATTTACTATAATGCATGTGTGCTTGCAAGAGAGAGACAAAGAGAGGAAGAGAGAGAATGTGAGAAAGCCCTCCCTCGGGGACAGCTACACCACAATTCCTTCTCCTCCATTCTCCTCTCGGGATCTTGGGCATGCACGCACACGTGCCTGGCGTGAGTTTTAAGCCACCGGGTCCGGGACGCGAACCACGGTCGACTACGTGGGAGTCCAGCGACATAGCCATTACGCTAACTGCTGGTTCCCAGTATTGTTTTATCTTTTTAAAAAATTTACTATAATGCATGTGTGCTTGCAAGAGAGAGGCAAAGAGGGGAAGAGAGAGAATGTGAGAAAGCCCTCCCTCGGGGACAGCTACACCACAATTCCTTCTCCTCCATTCTCCTCTTGGGGTTTTGGACATGCTTGCACATGCCACTGTTGAGTTTTCAAGCTGCTATATCCAGAACTCAAATCTCGTGGTTGCCATGTGAGATCCAGCTCCTTTAACCACCATATCATCAACTGGCTCTGTGTGAGCACTTTTCAAGTCACTACTAGAATCATGTTTGTTATAATCTCATTGGCCAAAGCAAGTCACATGCCTAAACACAGCATCAGGGCAGAGAGCTTAAAAAATTACATGGTAAAAGTCTGAATACAAGAATGGGAGAAGAATTGCAGTCATCATCATCATCATCATCATTATTATGTTACTACTAGTATATGGAAAAGTGTACATACTTTAAGAATTTGATTTAACGAACTTTACAAACTGAACAAGTCCATGTAAATAGTACCCAGATCGAGAAACAGAACTTCCCCAGCACTTCAGAACCCTCCTTATGTCCCCTTCCAGTCATTTCTCCCCACCTTGTCCCGGAGGTAACCATAACCTTGCTTCTAACAACACAGGTTAGTTTTGCTTGTTTATGTACTTACATAAATGGGGTCAGATGATGCATAATCCTCTTTGTGTCTGGCTTCTTTCACTCAGCATTCGTTTATGATATTCGTCTTATCATTGAATGCAGTTGTTAACTGTTTACTAGCGTTATTGTATGATACTACTTGGTTTGAATATTTTATTTAGCCATTCTACTGTGGATGGGAATTTATATAGTTTCCAGTTTAGTTCATATTCTTGCATGGAACTTTGGTAAAAGATATACAAAGGGACTTCATAAAGCTCATGGAGGGCCAGCCTGTGGCCTGTGGCCTGGTGATTAAGGCAACTGGATCCCACATGGTCAACTGCACTGTTTAAGTGCTGGACCTGGTGGCTTGGAAAACACACCAGACACATATGTGTATGTGCCCCAAACCCCAAACAGAGAAACAGAAGAGAAGGTATTGAGGTGTGACCATCCCCCATGGGGTGGTGCTTTCTCACTTTCTCTCTTTCTCTCTGGTAAGTGCACATGACTGCTAGCAAATTTTTTTTTAAGTTCATGGAAAATGGAATTAAAGTATAAGTTTATGTTAGTGCAAAAATTTTGGAATTCATGGGTAGTGTTTCTGTAGTAGACACTTCCTATGAAATATTTGAAGACTCCTGGTATATACCCAGTTCTCATGAGTATGTACCTAGGTGTGGAATTTCTGGGTTATGAGTTGCATGTGAGCTACATTCTACACAATGAAAAGAGTCTTTCAAAGTGAATTTATCAACTTTGAATTCCACAGCAACAAGTAAATATTCCAGTTGTTCCAAATAATGAATATTGGGATTCATTATTATTATACATTCAATATTTCTTTTTTCTTTTCTTTTTAAAAATTAATTAATTAATTAATTTTTTTATTTTAAAAATTTTTTAATACATTCAATCACATTATTTAGCTTACAAGGTGATCATTTCAATATGTGAACATTTCTCCCTGGCCCAGTTGATCAAAATATAACAATACTACCTCCCTATCTCAACAATGCTGTCTCCTTATCCCTCCTCCAAATGCTTTTCCCCAGGCCTCACTCCTCCACACACACCACATCTGGCATTCACACCCATCTCTTGTACATCCTTTAGCCCATCCGTTTCAGTTATAGAGTGCAGACACTTGGTATATATTAAGTGGGGACATACAGTGTCTCTCCTTCATAGCCTGGCTTACTTAACTCAGCAGTAAATCTTCCATGTTTTTCCATTTTCTGTCAAAAGCCAGGTTTTTTTTTATGGCTGAATAGTATTCCATAGAATATATGTGCCACAGTTTTTCAATCCATTCATCCATATGAGGGGGCATTTGGGTTGGTTCCATGTCTTAGCAATCGTGAAAAGTGCTGCAATAAACATTGATGTGCAAGCACTTTTCCAATGAAGAATTCTTCTGGCCTTTGGGTAGATGCCAAGGAATGGGATTGCTGGATCATATATGTTAGCTCTATTTGTAGACTTTTGAGGAATCTCCAAATTGTTCTCCACAGTGGTTGGACTAATTTACATTCCCACCAGCAGTGTAAGAGAATTCCTCTTCCACCACACCCCTGCCAACATTTATCATTTTTTTTTTTTAATCTTAGACATTCTGACTGGGGTTAGGTGGTATCTCATTGTTGTTTTGATCTGCATTTC